GATTCGCATTCCATCGAGTAAGAAACATAAACATTAGGGTTCTGAGACTGCGCAGTACGGACTGGAAATCATCTTAAACAGTTGAAATAACTTTATTGTCTTATTGTTGCTGGTGTCTTGCTAATTGTCTTTACGATTACCTGACAGCTTCTTCAGAAAGATCGCTCAAAAAGACTTGGAGTGGGAGAGAATGACTACGTAAGTTTGTACGTCATTTTGAGCAACATTTTGAGACGATAATGCGTTCAACACAATATTGAACCAACACGGTTGAGCTCTGATTTTCATAATCAGCAAGGATCTAGAAGTCGAATTTTCTGTCAGATGTGATACTAGTTTATCACAGGTTAACCTGCGGCATTTGGCTGGTTGAGGTGCTCCAGGTGCAGTCGTGTATAGATACGCAAAGCCATTCATAATATTCTGTGCAATCAATCGTTTTTGCAGTAGTAATATATGATTTCCTTTTCAATTTGTTCATCATAGGAAGAGATCAAGAACCATCCGTTTTTTCGCAGCATTGACTGGCAAATGTTATATGATAAGAAAGTCGAGCCACCGTACAATCCCAATGTGGTGAGTAAAGCTCTGTGCAGGGGAACAAATGTTGGATATGAAGTTGCCCGCATGTTTTATTGTTGTTGTTGTTGTTGGTAAAGTATTATTTGGTCAATCTGTTGTTGTTGTTTTGTTGTTTACCAACAGACAGGTCAGCTTGACTTAAGACATTTTGATCCGGAGTTTGTCCGTGAACCAGTACCAGGTATGGCGTCTTGGTATCAAAGCCCCAAAGCATGGGTGATAAGCATTTAGTTTCTCATTACAATATTGGCAAAACGTTCAAATATTACAGAAACAAGGCTTAACGATTGTTTTAAAAAACGTTCCCTTAATGTTCCCCTCCAAGCACTTTTTTCGCGGTAGCTGGAAGCATAGTTTGTTGAAGATATACTTGAAAAAAAACTTGAAGAATACCTGATAGGTAAGTCTCGAGCATATGTAACAATTCAATATATATATTATGGAAAAAATTAACAATTTTAAATAACATCGACTCAAACCATTCCTCGAGTAGTTGTTTTCAAGGTTTGCATCCTTAAGTAACGTTTTTGTACACGCTTTTGGCTTTATCTCTTTTCCTTTCGAACAATTCTCTTTTAATATTCCGACTTGAAGAGAATAACTTTTACTCCTGAATTGTGTAATCCAAAAATATTTCACCATGTTCGTTTAAGAGAAATCTAGCATTTATTTCCTTGTCGAGTTTGGCTTGAAGGAAATCTCTAGATGTTGTGCATGTGCACGCGTTCGTGTGCGCGCGCTAATGACGCCAAAATCATGCGCAGTAGGGACGCTCAATGCCATGCTGAGGAATCACCTGCAAAGTAATGTTACTCAAGCCGATTGCTAACGCCGATTTTGTTACGTTAAAAATCGATGTCGTGTAACATGGCGCTCAGGGCGACTTTTAACGCAACATTTCGTTGTTGCAACATGTTGCATGCATGTTTTTTGTTATTGTTGTTGCCCGAATTTTGCCTGTTGCGCCTTTAAAAATCTTCTCGTGTAACTTAACTTTGCCGACAGCTGCCGTCAGAAAGTTGCGTTAAAAGTTGTCTCGTGTAACATGGATTAAAAATCGGTTCGTTCAACATCACCTGAGGTCTTCTTGTTATTTTCTTTATATGTGATTTGTATAGGTAATCATACGGTTTCGAGTTCAATTTGGAATTAATTTGCAAGAGTGAGTTTTTCAAAAAGCTGAAATTGCACGAGCCGCTTCGGCGAGTACAATCTCAGCTTTTTGAAAAACTCACAAGTGCAAATTAATTCCAAATTGAACGAGAAAAACCGTATGATTACTTATTAATAATAGAAACAAAAAATTTGCGTGGAGAAAGTCACGGCAGGAAGACCTTTCTTGAAGCCATTTTTTCGCATTCGAGAAAACTTTTTTCAAAGTTTCCGCTCAAAACTACGTAATATCGTTGGCTTCGAAAATTTCCTATTGTCTTTCAGCCAATCATAATCCAGAATTACGATGTGTAATTTGTACTGGTGTTACACTTTTTGCACCGGTGTTACATTTTTTGCACTGGTGTTACGCTTGAACTGCACTGCTCTCAGCCAATCAGAATCGAGTAATTTTTTCATGTACATTATTAAATCATGTAAACCGCTCTTTATACTGAATTACAACAATGACTGATTGTGATTTAATATTTGCTGTTCTATTTTCTGTTTTGTTCACGCTAGGATCTGTTGGTAAATCTGCTGATTCAGCGTTTTTAAGTGCCAGTGTGGATGACCCTGATGATGCATTTGTTGGTTTCACTTATGTTGCTCCAATGGAAGAAGTCCTGCACGAATGACTTGTAACATAATGTGTAACTTATTTCTTGCTTTAAGCTAGATGCACAGTGTAGAACTATAGTATAAAGCGCTCTCTTCGAACACATCACAACACAGTCTACAGTACGGTCCTGCAACATTGCACTGTAACAAAAATAAACGCGAGTTATCACAGACAGAGAAAACGTTAGTCCAGATATGGCCCTCATGCTGTCACGCAATGCTACGCCTTGCACTCGCTAAAAATCAGCGTGACAGAGAGAGAGCCAGAACTGGACCAACAAAACGTTTGCAGCGGTCAAACGCAAACATGTAATACTACCCTCTAAAGTTCTTTGAAACTTTGCAGCGAAATTGTGTAAGAAGACGTCATAAAAAGAGCGGTTGGAAACCAAACTACCAGCCGATAAACTAAGCGGGTAACAATTAGCCATGAATATGTGCTGTATATGGCTTATCTATTCGGTGACTGTTTCATCGCCTGAGCTGAAAATGGAGGATTTCTGAAAGTTTGTCGGGAATTGCACGTGCGCAGTGCGTTTGACTGCTGTAAAGGGAAATTGTCTGTTTTCAAAACTGTGGAAAGTCATTATCGTGATTACTAGGTTCAAATAATGGCTCGAGGTAATCAGAATGAAGGGCAATATGGAAACCAGCTGTGACCACTTTTCGTGCTTGGTTCCGAGTTTGATTTTGACGATTGCGTTGTTTTGATGTGCGGTCAATGATGGGCCCCCTTTAGTTTTAGTTCATTAGGGAACGCAACCTGCAATTGTAGACTTTAGGTAAAAATGGTCTTAAAACATTTCATTTTTACTCTGCAGTGACACACTTTGCTTGCACCAATTGGTTATTAAATAAAACCAAAAGAGTTTTAAGCTTCAGTAAAGTCTTGTAACTTATAGTTCATACGTTTGACAAAATGGTACGAATTAATAATGTGGCATTTTGAGAGACATCTGGAAGTTCACCAAAGTTCAGCGATATGATCGACTGAACACCCTAATTTATTACGATTTATGATTAAATCATTCAAATTCATGAAATGTTCTTAACTTATTGATAATTTTGCTGTGGTTCCATGGATCCATTAGAGCTATAGAGTTGGAAAGACCGTTGTATTTAAGTATTAGACATTATTGGATTATATTAAGTTACAGTCAGTCTTTATCGGTACGTGACAAGGTGCAAAAACTTGAAATAAAATTCTCTTTGTAGAGTTATTAAAATTCAATGTTCGTGTCAATAATGTCTGGTCAATGAGATCTGAAGAGTATATCAGCTTGCTAGCTTTTGTTTGTTTGTTTTTATTAAGTCTAACCAAGTTTATTATTCTTCTCGTAACCACATGGTGATGGCCAGAATCCAAGATCAACTAAAAAAATATGTTGATTCACCAAAAATATGTTGATTCAGGGCTTACGAAAATAATCTCTACCACCAGTTTATTTAAACTGTTTTTTTCTGCGTATTTCCATTATAAAATAAGTTGTCTAGATATGGTCTGAATTTCTGTATGCCGTCAAATATCGCGCATGATTGGTTCAAATACAAGTCACGTGACACAACTAATGTTCTGAGGATATCCCGCTGTTTTGATAACTCGCGGGTTTTTCTGTCCTAGACTGAGAAATTGAAATGAATGTGTCGCTGTACTTGTCAATGACTATCAATGTTTTGAACTCAAAAAAAAATTTGACAGCTTGGTCGAAATCACCAAAATAGAGACATGGTCCGACTCGTTTCCACGACTTTTCTCCAAAGAATAATAAATAGATTAGGATATTTGTCTTTGGACATTATCTGTGTTTCGAAGTTTTCAGATTGTAGTACACTGTAGATGATTGCGAGTCGTGGAGAGTTCTTGTTTATTTTGAACAATCAACATTCAAAGTTTTAAAGAGTTTGTCCCTTACATTCTCCTCAAAAGTAAACGAGTTGTAATTTTCAAACACGGTTTTGTAGTTTTAAGTCGAAAACTGGCTGTTCGGACGCGATATTTAAGGGAAAAAAAGGAAGGTAAAAACTTATTTCTACAGGCTAGGACGGACCATTCAGCTTGATGGCTAATATCCAGAACGCGTTTGGCGTCTTAAAAATACATGACGTTAAAATATAAGTTGTCCACCAAACAGCGGATCATGGATTCAGTTTCAGTTTTTTATTATCGCATACTATTTACGGAAAAAAACTTAACGTAAGATGGTTTACAATGATAAACTATCACAATGCTACCTCTGTTTACCTTGTCTCTGTACGACCAAACAAGTGTAGTGATATTAATTTGTCTGTGTTCAACACATCTTACGGTGCCCGTTCTTCCTGTTTTACTCATAATGGACGTGACTAGCAGGGAGTTATATTGTGGTTGAGGTAAACATTTCGGCCTTTCTGTCATGGTGAACACATGAGTAATTGATTTAATTGTTAAAAATACACTTAAAGATTTCTGTAAGCTTTCCACGCAAAAAATACGATGTTAACAGGCGGTCCATTCTCATGATGTTTCATGGAGAAAATTGCCATGCGTTATTCTATTATTCCGGTCATAAAACTCTTTTTATCTAACCCACACCCCCGGACTAAATTGCCTCCTCGATACTGCCACATTATTTCTCTACAGTTCCGGTTTTTTTTGTTTTTTTTCGCTTGAAATTAGCATTGAAGCCTAATTTGAACATAGTTAATAGAGGGGAATGGTTATGAAACCCGACAAAGTTCCTTGTTGTATGTTTTTGTTCGCTTTTTTAGCCTTGACCCATGTACAAAACACAATAGTTGTTTACTCCGTACTGAGGAACTAACCAATAGAAACGTGTTGGTTACGTAAGTCCTGCATAGGGTATTGAAACCAAAAGATTGTGCACGGTCGTGGACCTTCCAACATAAATCTTGGAATCTTTGTTTGCTCCTTTGATGTTTTCCGGGCTTCATAACCAGTCCCCTCTATTAACTATGATTTGAAGACTGAACAAACTGCGCGTCTAACCGAAATACATAGCTTACTGAAAGAGTTGATGGCATTATATTTATTCAGTCAACCAGACATTAAAGCAGACAGGATAAAAAATCTGCTTCTTAACCGTTCTCTGATTAGCCCGTGCGGAGGCGGCGGCTGAAATCTCTGGATTCTTCATTCTCGCTTTTGAAGCAAATCTGTATTCTTGGGTGGCTGTTTGAGATCAAAACAATTTTCTTCACCAATAATTTATATTCGTTCGTCTGCCTCCCACAGCTGACTCTTCTGATAAGAGTTTGAAAATATTTTTTCTTCTGCCTACTCGAATTCTCTAATGATCTGATAATGAATGCAAAATTAAGGACGTGATCGGAAAAGACGATTCGCCTATTCCCACGTTTTCTAGACAAAACTCGAAATTGATATTACAAGCTTACAGTATTTCTATTTTCAAATGCTTTCCCTTTCAATTTTTTTTTATTTCCGTATCAAACAGATATTTCATGCTTAGAAATTTTCTCTTTTTCGAAATATTTTATTAGGTTTAGTATTCCGAAATAAGCGCCAAAAATAAACCTCTTGTTTACCACGTGATAACAATAGAAATTCTCCCAACTCTCTCTTCCGGCGTGTGACATGACATGTTGACCCCAGACTCCTTTTGAGTTGTCCTATTGGGATTTTGCATTCATAGCTATTTCCCAGGGCAGTAGTGTTTTTATTCCATCTATTGTTTCTTGGACGCTCATTAGTAATCTTAGAGAAAATTAGCTGTGGGTTTTAGGTTTTGATAAAACGACGTAGCATCCCACGCTTTTCTTTCACAGGGAAAGCATTACAAGTTCCGACGAGCGCGACCTTCCCCTAAGAGCAAAACCACAGCGCCGTAGCTATCGATCTGTCACGAAGTCCAGTGATAATTTTCAACCGCAGGAGCATTTTCCAGCAAATGCGATGTCCAAGCAGATAGATGTAACGGTACCTGACTCAGAAACATTGAGCTCAGAGAAATCAAAGCGTTTTACGGTAAGGTTTGTTCTTCTCGATTCATCATCAACTGTGTGTTAAGCATTAACTTGCCTTTTTGCTTGTTACGTATTCTGCTGTGCTCTGTTTGTCGATGATTATTCTAAAATGAAAACAAACAGCTATGCAAAGATTGTACCGCAGTTCTCCGTTCAATCTGTGACGACCGACAGAAGATATCACGAAAAGCAGCAAAGGTTCGTTGCTCGAAGATCATCTATAAAGCTCCCGCGTTGAAGAAATAGGGGAGATCTTGTTCTGCTGTGCGTTTCGTTGGCGGCGATCGAATTTCACGTTTCCGTAGGCGTTTCGTCGCCACTGTAGCGACAAAATCTATTTGGTATGGATTGTTATAATGTGAAAAGCTAATCCTAGTTTTGTATCTTAGAATCGTTATGCAAGCTTATTGATGCCGTTTAAGACAGGGTCGAAAGAAATGTTAGGCTTAGTAGGATGCTTGTCTAGGTACTGTTGTCAAATAGGTTTACATGTTTCTTGTGTCATGTTTATCCCGTAATTGCCCAAAGGTATCCATTCATTACAACTCGATGAGGAATGGACAGTTTTGCTGCTATTTAGTTTCTCTTTCTTGCTGTTACTATTAATTTAACGCTTTCAGTGATTTTTTGTTCCCCATAGAAATGTACATGTACATTTGTTAATTCAAGCTTACAACTACAGCCAACACTTTATACACGAACTGACTGAGGAGTTTTGAAATGACAAAATCTGATGGCTAATTAACAGTACTTAAGCTAACCATTTGATATTTAGACGGACTCTGGTTCTGGATAAGGTTTATGTAGTCTTTTTACCAAAAACCCGTTCACGTTACTACTTTTTTCTCCAGTAACATCCATCATGCTTTGACTTAGTAATAACTAAAGATCTTGTTATCTATAAGCTAATCATATATTTTGAGACATGTCAAGTTTTGCACGAGTTAGAACATGAAACGAAACATTTTAAAGACTCTCGTTCACTTAAAAATTGATCGTGGCATATGTTCTGTTTTGATCCATCTGTTTTGGGAGTCAAAGTTTAAAGATTCGACTGTGTTTTTCTTGGTTCGATTGAGAAATTAGCCAGGGAAAGCAAAAAAATAATAATTGGTTGATTTTATCATATTAGGCCTAGAAAATGCTCGTGTCCATTTTGTGGTCAAAACGTTTTGTTATAAAAATGAAACAGCTAAGAAAGGGTACACAACATTTCACCAAATATCAGTAAATTCACTTTTTCAAAAAATAGCTTTGAATAAAACAACATTGTCTTAATGTTTGTACAATTCGATATACAGTGTAAACAATTTTGATGGAGGGTTTTCCTACCTTTCTCGTATCACTTAATTTATTTTATTTTGGCTTAGCTACATAGTGCATGTTGTATGGACCTTGATGTTGATCTGCTAGAAAATCTTGTAAATTGATTCGTTTATCTAACAAAGCCACTGAGTGGTACAGTACATGTAACAGATGCTTTGACAAATTTCCTGAAGAGTTTTCACCAAGCCTCATGTGGTTTGCATGTTTAGGTGAAAATTGGCAAATGCTGTTATAACCTTAGGAAATTGTTTCGTAAACAAATTGTTTTTCATGAGATTTCATATTCTTGTGGCCTTTAAAATGATACTTTGTTTTCTTGAACTACCTTTATATAATTAAATACCTCTGACCTCAATTTGGGAAGTGTCAGTGATGGAGCAAGCTGTGTTTGGAATTCTCTGAGTTTATGGATTTTAATAAGCATTCTATGTACATATCACACTTCAGAACAGACGTGGGAATTATTCTCTACATAAATTATGCCTCTGTGTATCCAGTTACCCCTGAATTTTTACAATCATACAACATTGTAAACCAATGACCATGTTTTCTGGTAGATTATCACTCTTATTCAGGCATGAAGTTGCTTGGCTGATTCTTCCACCTATACAAACTATGTCGGACATTTTCCTCATTATGTTTTTAAATAAATCCAATTAATGTAAAAAATTCTGTGTGGAAAAGTTAGAAAGTTATCAGTCTATTTATTTTGAACAATGATTATTGTTGATCCTGAGACTGAACAAAGAGAAGTCAATTTATAGTAGAGCTCCAGTGACCCAAAGGGCCGCTTAGCAGAGCCCCATACTCACGGAAACCTGTGAATCACATTTCTCATGGTAAAAAGGGCTAGCGGTATATTTGCTCGTGGGCGTGTATGCTCAATAAAAGTGTCATGTAAGATGGCAGCCATACTTTAGCTGATAGGTTGACAGAGACATGCAGCCTTAGTTTATAGTGTCCTGCTTTGGTATTGAACATCCATGTTATGGTCAATTGACACCTGTCAAAACAAGGTATCTGCTGACCAGTATCACATATCCATGTTGTGGGCTCAAGTTAAAAACTCGTCAAGATCACATGGTTTTTCTAAGTTGACTGCTGACCAAGTGCTGGTTTTTATTGGATTGCAGGCTCATGTCAAGTTAATGTGTTGTAATCAGGGTTATGTTGTTCGGAAGCCAGTTAATGCTAACCCAGGATTAAAAGTTAACTGAAGTATAAATTTTTCTTGTATACAAATTTGTTTCACTGTTTTTGTTCATGTATTTTGGGATTACTCAAATCAAACTTTTTGCTTATCCTGGGTTAGCTCAATAGGGCTTTGAGCAACCTGGCCTAGGAGCTCTACTTTTAGGCTTGGCTAAATCTATGCATTAGTTCTTGCAATACCATCTTGGCCAAACTTGCATGTTTCCAAAATGTTTCGAAGCAAATAAATGGTGCTGTGTTGTCTTTCCCCAGGTATACAAAGTACTAATAAAACAACCAGATGGAAGGAGTTATTTCATATTTAGAAGATACAATGAATTTCATCAAATGTGTGATAAGGTATGCAGAAATATCTTGGAGATCCCAGCTGGTAGAACTACAATTCATTGTATCTGTAAGGCCTGGTGCAAGAGTTGAACTTTACATGTGCTGAACCTAATATCGATTTCGAGCCAACTCAAATCATTTAAGCTTGAAAGTTGATTCAGAAGTCTAACCTAATGGTATCAAACTGTACTGAGTACTTCTTGCGTGCATTTTGCATTCTGTATTCCTTTGCATTCTGTATGGCTGTATGATGTGCTCACTACATCGTGAAATTAAAAGGGCCTTGATCAAAACCGGGCCTAGATATAAGTTGTATCACAAATTTACAGATGTGACATTGTCACTGCATTTTAAGCCCCTTGCCCATGCTTAACCTATCAGAGCACAAAATAGCAACCATTGACAAGCTATGAACAGATGATGTTATGTAGTTATTACCAGTACATTGGCATTGCCAAGAATGTTTCAGCATCAAATTTCATAACTGTGACTTCACGTAAACCCACCACCCCATCTCATCAAAGCCCATCTCTATTAAGCTGAGTTAAATAAGAGGCTGCGAGAGAATAAACAGTATATTTACACTGTACTGTATATGGCAGAACTGAGAAAAACTTGAGAATAGCAATACTAACGTGCAGAGTCATTTATCACATATTGACACATTCTTTTTACTCCCCTAATTAAATTTTTTCTATTACAGCTCAAAAAGCTATATCCAGACTTGCACATCAAGCTGCCTGGTAAAAGATTGCTTGGAAATAACTTTGATCCTGGTGAGCACTTAGGGCTGATTAGGTTCCATACTTGAATTGGATTAATTGAATCCAGTGAGTTACATGCAATTCACTATGTGTCGTCTGGATTTTTATTTTGGTCCTGCCAGTGAGAATATAATGTATTATTGACTGTGCACTTTTTTTCTACGAAAAAAGGAAAAGGTGGTGAAAACTACTGGCCACAAAATATATTCAGTTGTCGCGTCGTCAGGGAAGAAAGAAGGCTCTCTAAGCTAAGGAAGCTTTGTAAATTACACACGTTTGCTATTTGTTTCCTTTTGCTATTCGGCTTTGTCTATAGGTCATTCTGATACGGGTCTATACCTGCTCCAAGGTCCTGCGTCTTTCTTGACCTTCTATTTTTTCAAACGGTTATCGATATTGAACACAAACACAGCTAGCTCTGGAAAGTAATACTTTCAGTCGAGATAGGGCTTCAGGCAGTGGGTTTATACACGAAGAAAAGTGAGCAAAGTAAAAGAAGAGAGGGATCTGGGGTAAAGGCTCCTCTCTTTTTTCTTTGTCCGCTTCCTAGCTTCGTGCAAGGTTTCTTCACAAGAGCAGGAAAACTGATTTACAGGCATCAGCAGTAGCGACATGTGCACAATGAAAAGTGTTGTGATGTGTTTATTTTGTGGAAAATTGTTAAGGTATAAAAGTATTATTTTAAGTTTAGATGAACAGATCATGGCACTAAGTGTTGCAGTGACAGTGTTTCGTTGACTTTTCTTGCAGTGATACAGTGTTAGTTAATTTTTTTTGCGGTGTTACGGTGTTCAGAACCCTCCCATGTCCCCCTCCTAAGGTTGTCTCTGCATGTGTGTTGTCTCTTAAGGAAGTTGCTAAACAACAGTCCACTTACATATACTTGTACATATCCTTATAAAACAATTATTTTTATTGTCATATTAAGTCAACAAGTTTAATGCCTGGTCATACAAAGCATGATTAAGATAATTCAGGATGTTTTGTTAACTTTAAATTTTGTCAGTCAGTCTGATAATTTCTCAAATATGCATGATGACTTAGGTACTAAATATATTTATAGGCAGTCATAATATTCGTCTGTTGCTTATTTTGACTAAACTCGAACCACAACTTGAATTAGAATGTGAAAATTTTATGCTTTAAAGTTATCTTTCAATCTTGGGTTAATATCATTAATTAAAATCAATCTTTTTCCTTCAATTCGTCAGATTAGTCACCCAGCTAGATAACCTTAGACTGTACTAATTCTCTGTAGAATTGTACCACCTATGGTCTTATATTAATTCCTACATTATAATATTTTTTCTTCTCTTTTGCAAACCGTTAGTAAGTGAACATGTGTTGTCGTAAGCCTTGTAACAAGCAGACGCAGAGTGTTTTTGAGTATTGGTAGGCTATGAATCACAATGTTAGGAGTGGTGGGCTGTATTAAGACTTGCCAATCCAAATGTGTATGATTATTATAATAACAACAATTGAAAATTTTAATAACTTAAAATAAAGCAGAAGTCAAAGTATAAATTAAATTTTATTATATGGCTAACTTCATTAGCAGGCAAGATGAACCAAATCCTGCATTGTGATTGGTTACCAGAGTGGTCAAGATGGTGCCATCTTACCCACTCTAGACTGCCAGTACTCGCTATGTCCCGCAAGAAACATTTCCCTGAAAGCCATTGATACATAAATATGGACTTATATTGACTAAGCTTGTTTGGTCAATGTGGCTGAATATTGGCCTTGTTCTTTTTCTCACGAGATTAGAGACCCCAACTTCATTGCAGTCCATAAACATGTATTAAACTCATCACAAATAGATGAGCTTGGGAACTGGTGCCTTAAAGGTTAGCGGGGTGCCAAAGCCATAAGCCGCTAGGAGGTATCCATGGCAACCCTGGAAAGTAGGAACCACCCAACGAGCGTCCGCTAACCAGCACCGTCACACTGAAAGAAATTCAGTGGAAACTACTTATCTGAAGAATACTTGCCCTGACCAAGAACAAAACGGGAGGGAGGAGAGGGTGCAAGAATCTGCAATGATTCGCGAGCAAAGCAGTGCAACTGATCTGCAACAATCAGCAGAGTACACTACAACAATATTATGCAATGAACCATAAACCCCTGCAAAACCCCTGAAGGCTGCCCCACAGGTCACGTACTCCCAAATGTGGAAACCGCTGGCTGCATAAGCTCATATTTAACTTGCCTAAATGATATTAGCTGGATGGGCAAACTAGCTGGCTGCATTAGCTCGAGTTTAACCTTGCCTAAATGATATTTAGCCACATAAAATAAAGAACTTGGCTAATATTCAGCCATCTTGACCTTGCGCTTGGTCGATTACCAAGGTATATTTAACCCTGCACCCTGGTTGAATTTTATTGTTCGATGGGAATAACTAGTACATTTTGTTTGAGCTGTTTTTTTACAGTAATAATAGGGTACAATGTAAGTTTGTTACTGTTCTATAGAGTTTATCAAGATACGACGGGAAGGTCTAAATGATGTTACGCAAAAGATTATGAGTCATCCAAAAGCTATTGACCAGTAAGTTAACCATATATTTTCTGACATTCTATCTTCAAGCTGTATTTGTTTAAGGTGTAATTTGTTAATCCTTGAACTAATTCTTAACTTTCATTCACAGCCCAGATGTGAGGGAGTTCTTTTCACTGGACAATCCAAAAAATGCTGAAACTAATGATGATGATGATCAGCCTGGAGCTGACGAGTCTGACAGTCAGGTGACTAACAAGTGATACTGTAGAATTTGAAAAGAACTCGGTTGTTGCTTAGACCTCTCAAGGTCTGATAACCAACACTGTCGCTTATTTGCATTTTAGTATCTTTCTAGTGCTGTAACCATCAGGTTATATATAATATTAATTATTCTGTGTGCAATGACTCATTTTATAATTATATTTGACAGGGTAGAGATATGGATGGCATTGACTTAGGAGGTACAAACAATCCCAAGTAAGTTGTTGTTCAAAAGTGATGATGATGATGATGATAGTGATTATTAACAACAACGTAACAGTAATTGGACCAAGTGGAGTGCAATTCAGGGAGTAATCAGGGGAGTAATTGTGAGGCCAATTTGAAATTACGAACACGATTACTCCCTGAATTGTATAACTTGAGGTCCAATTACTAATTAATCATATCAAAAACAAAATTTCCTTTGAGCAAAAAAGTGAGGAGTGCCTTCCATAACTGTAGGAAATATTAAGAATAAAGCCATTGAAGCACAGGTAATTGATATGAGCAGTGGCAAAGGTATCCTAATACGACCTGTTGAAATTGTGACACCTGTAATTGGGCACCCATGTGATCGCACGCTGTTTACATGATAAATAGGCGCTCATAGAACCAATTGCGATCAAGAATTTTGTTATAGATATTATCATTATCATTATCATTATCATTATTATCAAATATAATTAAAAGTGGCTTTGACTTGTCCTAACAATATCAATAATGTCGAGTGGACTTGGTAGGTGTCATATGAGTTGACAACTCAATATAGATATGTTGGTTGTTGTTTTAGATGATGGTTAATGCACTAAAAGAGTCTAATACTTTGTGTATATATATTTCAAACCTAATAGTGCATATTAAATGCAAGCAGTTGATAAAATATGTCTTTGTCTATTCAAACGTGTGAATATGACTTGTTTTTAGGGCAAAACCCAGTGATTTCCTCTTCTTAAAAGTCATTGGAAAAGGAAGTTTTGGCAAGGTGAGGAACTAAATGAAGCTCATTTTGAATACATGTCTGTTGTTGTTTATTTTCCAAGTTAGTGAAATTCTAACTAAAGACACATTAAAAGAGTCCTTTAGTAATAACTCATGTAGTGTTTAAGTGAGTGAGATAGTCAGTCAGCCACTAAATCACTGGAGCTTGTCTATCTAGTCAGTGGGTTGGTGGACAAGTCATTCAGTCAGTTAGTCTAAGGGTTAGTCAGATCAGACAGACAGTCAGTCATTCAGTCAGTCAGTCAGACAGTCTGACAAAGTCAGTCAGATGATTAGTCAGCCGGTGAGTCAGTTTGTAAGTGAGTGAGTGAGTAAGTGAGTGAGTCGGTTGGTCAATCCGTCCTTCTGTCAGTCCATCAGTCCATCTGACTGTTGGTCTGTCCGTCTGTCAATCTGTTGGTCCACCAGTCAGCCAGTGGGCCAGTCAGCCAGTCAGTCGGCTAGTCAGCCAGCTAGTTGGTCAGTCAGTCAATCAATCAGTCAGTCAAGCAGAGACAGACAGACAGTTGGACAGTCAGTCACTTATTTAGACAGTCAGTCAACACTCTTTTAAAATCTTGTCAGAAAGCCAGCCAGTGATTATTTTGATCTGTTCGTCTCACATCTTCATCAAATTGATAATGAACTGATATCTTTGTAGGTCTTTCTTTCCAAGAACAAAGCCGAGGATAAATTTTATGCTATTAAGGTTCTGAACAAGGCAGCTATAAGGAAAAGGAATGAGGTAACTTGAATGTATTCTTGACCATCGTTACATTACGTTGTATGATGTGGTATTATCAAGTCCTCTAGTTCTCTTGGCGTCCTTCTTGGCACCTGTTATATGACTTGCTATTTCAGTGTGGCAGAATGCTCCTGGTGGTTGCTTAATCATCAGTTTATAATTTATCAGGTACTTATGCAGGGATGGAGCTAAGAAAAAAAAACAAAGCAGGCATGTTAACTAGCTCAACTGGCTTTTCTTAACAATAAGAAGCAATCATAACATTGTAAATACAATTGACAAACAAGGTGGATAAATAAGTGCTTTTCCTGTATAGTACACTGTTGAACTACAAGCATTGCTTGGTAATTAAGGCAGTCACTGTGGTTATTTTTTTTCATGTATTATTTAATGTTATGAGCATAGTTTGTTTTAGAAAGGAGAGTTAAAATCTGTAGCTGTCAGTAAAATTAATGTAATGTAATCATTGTATTTCAGGCAAAGCATATCATGGCAGAACGGAATGTCTTGTTGCAGAATATTAAGCATCCATTTTTAGTGGTACGTTTGCTGTCTACTTAATATGTTAATTAATTAAGAATGGTAGTATTATGAAACTTACAAAAAAAGAAACATATAATGTATATTTAAGTAGGCTAATAGACCCTATTCATGAATGGCTGCCAATTAAAAATTGTTTTGAAAGTATTAAAATTAGCCCAACTAACCTCATTTTGAGTTGATAATTCAAAAAAATTTTTGCTCTCAAACGAGTTTAGTTGGGTTAATTTAAATGCCTACAAAAGAATTGTTAATTGGCAGCCATTTATGAATAGGGTCTATGCTGTGATCATTAACCTCAAATAAATTTGCAATATTCTACAAAATCAGAAAAGCTGTGATAATGAGAAAGTTTTTTTTTTTTCAATGCAGGGCCTTCACTATTCATTCCAAACTAGGGATAAGCTCTACTTTGTTCTGGATTATGTGAATGGAGGCGAGGTAGCTTTGTCAATGTTATTGCAACCAAAGTTGTGAGAATTATGCCTTTGCATTCTCAGTCATCTTGTGAAACATTTGCTATGCTGGATGGAGGCATGTGCAGCCTTTGACTAGTCAAGCTTGACTGTTAAGATGCATCAGAACATAGCTTGCTGGCTAGAATGGTTGATTTTGTACCATCAGTGACCTAGCTGATTAATGAGTGATAAGTCCATCTTTTAGTTTAAGGAGTTATGGTGGCTAGCAAGTAGATGCAACTGAATTTTTTTAAGGCTTCAAGGTGTGGGTGACCATCGGTCATGGTAAATTTTCCGTTGAATTTCATGGGTCATGTAGTCTCAGTTTTTTTTACAAAACTGGCTTGGGGTCTCAATGTTTTGGAAGGCTAAGAAAGTCTTCAAGTCCCAGTGTGTTTGTTTGCTTGTTTGTTTGTTTTTGTAAACTGTCTGAATTTCTTATTCACATTTAAAACATAAGTCTCAGTCTTGCAACTTAAAAAGTCAAAATGTCTCAAGCACACGAGGAAAAGGGCTAGTCTTGCCTTCTCTCAAAGTCTCACATTTACAATCCACTACCCCTGCTTTACACTGAAGTAAAAAATGACTGGCATTGCCTGCAGTCACACATAGATTTGTGGCATAAAAAATGCCAAGTTTGACATTTTTTAAAAACTCTGCTTCATACTAGGTAGTTAGTACCTGAAGTTATCACATTTTAAAATTCTTTGATTTTTTATTTTATAATATAGCTTTTCTTCCATTTGCAAAGAGAGAGATATTTTCCCGAATCAAGGTAGGTTCTGTTACTTCACATATGGGCCTCATTCAAATTTATTTAGCATTATGAAACTGATTCAGTTTTCATGTCCTAACATGTTTTCAGGGCCAGATTCTATGCTGCAGAAATTGCTTCTGCAATTGGTTATCTCCATGCACTTTCAATCATTTATAGGTAAGTTAATAATAATTATGATTTCTTTGAAAATGCATTTTTTTCCACATTGTACATGATTATCAAATTGTTATCTGATATTGATTTTCTCAAAGAGATACCCTCAACATTTGCTGCAAATATGGCTGGGTGGACTTGGCATTTATTTTACCTGTGCAGTTTATTCACACATGGTGTTATATTCGTTGTTTTTAATACAGCCAGATATCTTGCCATTGTACCTAAAAGGTAGTAAACCTTGAATGCTATTTGAGGGTCTTATCTGCAACTCTTTGTTGGATCCCAGAAATTTATTCAGGGGTCAACACTTAATCAATACAGTACAGTCAGTATTAGCGTTCAAAATTTTTTGTTACAGTTAACTATAGGTGGAGTAAATTTATCTACTATGCGTATTATTTAGTAAGTTTCTGCTATCATCTTTTCAGGGATTTGAAGCCAGAGAATATCCTTTTAGATTTTAGGGTTCGTATGTTTTGTTTTGTTTTGTTAGTACGTACCTTTTACTGACTGAGCATGTGAGAGCTGTACTGAGGAATGTTGGCCTGAGGTCATGGCAGTATGGACCGAGTGCAGTGAGTCCCTTACAAAAATGACCAACATCTGATATTCCCCAGTATGGTTCAAGCAAGGTAGTTTAGTAAGTAGTTTATTACCTGGTACTTGTTTTGAATTTGCTGGCTTCGGAATTCAAAAAATAAAAATAAAAGAAGTAAAAATAAATAAAAATACAATAATAATAATAATAATAATAATAATAATAATATTATTATTATTATTATCTTTATAAGAATAATAATAACAAGAATAATAAGAATTTATTTTTAGTGCATTACATCAAAAATCTCCATGCTCTTGAGATTTTTGAAGTTACATGGCTTATGGTCATTTCCATGGAAATGTTCGGCGTCGCCAAAATCTGGATTGGACCGGATCGGATCACGGATCGGATCACGGACTGGATCACGGACCGGATCACGGACTGGATCACGGATCAGATCACAGATCGGATCACGGATCGGATCATGGATCGGATCACAGAAAAAAAAACCCAAAGTTTTAAAGAAAAAATCAAAAACAAAAATCAAACCATTTGTAAGATAATAATGAATAAAAAATAAAAGTGGAAAACTAAAATATGTTAAATGAAAATAAGAATCC